AAATTATTAATTTTATTCCCCCGAATAGGACAGTCCTGATTCTTTCTTGAAATCGAGTAAGAAATGAAGAAAACCAGCTGAAGACAAAATTCTGCATACGTTCATGAGGGCCTGAAATTCTGGGGATGCTCCTGCTTGGTAGATGGCCGTTAATGAATGACAGGCCCCTTGGCTTGTCCTCAAGTGTGAGTCACTGCAGCGGCAGGCAAAGCCCTCAGCCAGTTTATCAGTTCCACTCCCTAACAGGCTTCTCTGCGGCTTTTTGCTTAGGATCCGGACCGGCAGGCCCCCTTCTTTCTATCCCTCTCGCTGTGCTGTTTAGATGTGACCTTTCCTTCTAAGAGGTGAAATCAGTGTTTGTGTCAGTGATGCATGTGACATTCTGAGGACATGCTGAAGCTCCAATGAGCTTCCTGCTGCTCTGTGGACAATGGAACTGGTAAGGATTAAGATGTCTGTGGACTCTGAAAACTTTTGTCATTATTTTTAATTATTAAAAAACAGAATGTTATTTTAAAAATGGATACAAATAAGTTTTTTTTTCCCCCTTCTAGGAACCACCTCACTCTCTAGCCTCTTTCTTTTTTGGAGATGTATTTGAAACTTCCAAAGATTCCATCTTGATTAATTCTGTTTGATGAATTCAGACAATCTGAAAACCCTATCCACACCACCATGTTCAGCTTTGGCACATCATTCTATCTAAAACAGAAAAACATTACAAATAGTACTGAATCAGTAGCATACATACCGCTAACATCAGATAACTAGAACTACACATTACCAATTTCGAATGAGAAGACAACCATTTTTATCAACCTTCTCACGTCCATTGATTTTCTTGCTTTCCCCTTTGCCCAAGTGTATCATAAGTGTCAACGTGGAAAAAAACACTGTGGCCAACATAAAAACACAAATTGTATTGTTACCTTGTGAATAAGTATGAGAGTGAGTAGGGCACTGGCATCTAGGGAAGAGAAAAGAAAAGAAAAAAATATAAAGTGAAACTGGAAGAGCAAAAGCTAAGAAGCCTGAACGTCACTTACTTTGCAGTCTAGTCCTAAGATGCTATCAAAGTAATCAATAGCTATTGGCAAACGCTGTCCATAGAAAAAACAGAAATTGCCCTGGACAAAAAGTTTACTCAGTCTTTCCAGTGCTGTAGGCCCATTCTTTCATGAATTATTCAAGCAGTACTTAATAAATGCCTATGGGGAGCTGGGATGAGCACTCTGGGAATACAAGGAAGTCCAAGATGGGGTCCCTGGACTTGATAAAATCCAGGGTGTAAAAAAGATGGGGCCCCTGGTCTCAGTAAGGGCCCAGCTCTTATTAGGTCAGGAGCTTTGACCAAACTTACCAACAGGTAAATACTCACGCATCTCATCTCCCCCCGCCCGGCCCCCAACCCACCCCTAGGATCTTTCCTTGTATTTTCCCATTGTCTTCAGGTGTTTAACTTCAAACTTCAAACGGGCTTGGCCTATTCTTCTAAGAAGCCCCTCCTGGGCCTGCTGGCCTCCCTGGGTACCACCCTGAGCCTGCATCCATTCTCAGTCAATCTTCAAGGACCGGCCACCACTGCCCAGGCTCCGGTGCTCATCCCCTCCCTGGCTAAATTGCGCTCACACCTGTCCCTTTCTTCTCACCAAAGCCCTTACCTCTTCTCAGCTCTCAGTCTGCTTCTCTGCTCTTGCTTTCGGTGTCCCTTCCCTGTCTGGTCACTTCCCGGTTCTTAGACAGTCCCTTCACTGGCTTCCATTGTCCTGCTTGCTGTTTGAGCGTTGCAAGAAGGTTTTGTGTTTCTATTTACTGCCCAGAGGACCTTGTCATAGTGGGGTTCCCACAGATATCTGAGTGTATAACCTTCCTTTCCCCATTCAAATTTGGAATGGAAACATCTAACATCTGAGGGAGAAGGAAGGAGAAGGGATGAACTCAGTGGTGGTCATGATCGCCAAAACTGAGACTTGGGAAGTCAAAACCACGCGGTGGTGAGCACCACCATGAATCAAGGCTGCCACCTTGTGGGCGCCGCTGAGAATGCCAAGCGCCAAGAGTTTCCCAGCTGGTCTGATCCAGCTGCAGGCTTCCGCGGGAGAAATGGAAGTAGGCAAGGCCAAGGTGTTCTCTTTCACAGGTGGACTTTACGCCCTCCAAGGACAAGAAAAGGGAGGCAAAGAGAAGGAAAAAAAAAATCAAACTCAAAGCTTTCCAATGTCCAGGACCTTGGGAGCACACGCTTCCTTCCACCCTCACCCTTGTCTATTTCCCATTTTTCAGGCTTGGAGGCTACCTCAGTTCATCATTTCTATTCCTTCCTATTTGTGCTTTGAATCCCATCCCCTCTTGCGGTCTTCAGACCTCCATCTGTCCTGTATTTCCTAGTCTTCCCTTTCACTTGATCCTTGTCACATCAGATTTAAGAGTTTCATGCTTAAAACGTCCAACCTCTTGCCCTCCCCCACCCCCTTCCCTGCTTGCTCTCTCTCTGGCTCTCCCCTCCTGGCCTACATCCACTGGCCTCATTTCTTTGTCTCCCGCACATTCCTTGGCTCCCTGAAATCTGGCTGCTGTCTCCACAAGTCCTAGCTTTCCTGCTGTATCCTTACTTCTCAGAAACTTCCTAGCACCTGCTCTCACAGCAGCCAACACTGTGGGCCACTCTCCTTGGGTGGCTGAAACATTCTTCGTGGCTTCCAGATCCCCTGCTCACCTGGGTTTCCTCTAATTATTCTTCCTCTGGCTTCTTTTCCACTCTGCCCATTCCTTAAATGTTGGCTTCTATCCTGGGCTCATCTCTCACCCTTTATAGCCAAACACGCATCAAGGCCTCAAATATTTCTCTACCCAAATCCATCCACTTCTCTGGGGCCTTCTGCCACTCTCTGGTTCTGCTGTCTTCTCTCATCTGGATTACTAGAGTTCCTAACAGGTTTCTCTTAGCTCCACCTTTGTCATTCTGTGGTCAGGGGCATATTTCCAATGATGTCCGCTCTTGTTTAAAAGTACTTTGGTGGCTCCTTGTGGCTCTTAGCATGAAGTTCAGATCTGACTCTGCCTCACTGGCCCCACTAACGTCTCCAGCCCCTCATTTCCTCCATCTCTGGGGTTGAGCTCTTGAAAAATTAACTTGGTTCTTGTCCTTCCATCGACCACGCTCTCTCTCTGTCTTGCCTCCAGAATTTTGTCCTTGTTATCTCCTCTGCCTGGAACAGACTTCTTCTGGGTAACTAGGTGCTTTCTCATGTCAAGTCAGATGTCACTTCCCTAAGGCCAGGGCCCTGGGCTGACACACTCTCTCTGTGGCCCACAGGACCTGTGCCTCTCTCCCCATTAAAACGTATCAGACTGTGTTGCTGGTGCTCCCTTCCTGTTTCCATCTGCCTGGAGACTGTAAATTTTGTGGTAACGAGGCAAGAGGCACCCTATCTCACAACTTTATCTACAGTGCTAGCATGGTGCCAGGCACATTCCATCTGCCTGGAGACTGTAAATTTTGTGGTAACAAGGCAAGAGGCACCCTATCTCAATCTCACAACTTTATCTGCAGTGCTAGCATGGTGCCAGGCACGAAGTAAGCCCTTAATACTGAATGAATGAATGAATAAATGAATGAGTAAATAAATACGTGTAGGTATTTAAAATCTCCTGACCATCTTCTGTCTTTTCCTGGTGTGCAAGGACACAGAGCCTGGCTTGGGGAAGGGAGAATAAACTGTGGGCTCCCCCACCTTCTTAGGAAGGCCTGATGGGCTCCTTTGTACTCTTCCTGAGAAGCAGAGGAAACCCCAGGTAGATCAAGCCCCTCATCTACCCAGCTCCTGGCTCTGGCCCAATCATTTAAGCTTTCACCCTTGTATCACTGACAAGCTGGCCATGCTCTGAGCAAAGGCCAACCCTTCCCCTGTGCACGAAATCCCAGCCCCACTCATCTACTCAAAGACATCGCTACCAATTCTTCTCTCTCTCCTGCATCATCAAAATTCCCCTCCAAATAGATCTTACCCATCCGAATGGAATTGTTACTTTCCCCATTTTATATTAAAAAGCAAACTACAACCTTGTTTTGTCTCTCTTCCCGCTCCTGATGCTGCCTCCACCTCTCTCCTTCCCTTTAGCTGACTGTACCCGCTCTCTTCAATTTCTCTTCTCCCATTCTCTCTGGAACCTCTTTCTAATCAGCTTTTGCCCCATGACTCCGCTGCCCAGCTTACCAAATCACTGATGCCCTTGACCTTGCTAATATATCACTCAGTTCTCAGTCCTGTCCTCCTCTCACCTGACCTGTCAGCAGGTTCACTCCTGTCCACGCTCTCCTCCCTGGAAACACTTTCTTCCCTTGGCTTCCAAGACAGCACTCTCCAGTTTTCCTCCTACTGCACTGGCTGCACCGGATCTAGCTCCTTCTGCTCTTGAGTCTGAACGCTAGGTCCTAGGGTTTAGCCTATGGGTGCATCTCTCTTCTTTCCACACTCACTCCCTGGCTTCTCATTCCTTCCTTCTACGATGATGACTTCCGCATTTATCTTCCTGGTTTAGACCTCTCACCTAAACTCCAGATTCAACTGCCTGCTCAGCATCTCCACTTGAATGTCTATTAGGCATCTCACAGTTTTCTTTAAGACTCAGCTCCTGGTCTTCCCTCAAAGCCTCCTTCCCACCCTAGTTTAATGGCAACTTCATCCTTCCAGTTGTTCAGGCCAAAAAACCTTGGGGTCATCCTTGACTACCGTTACCTAGCCCCCAGCGTCTCTGACCTCATCTCCCCCTTGCTCACCTTGCTCACGTCACCATGTTCTGAAACCACGCCAGGTGTGGCCCACCTGTAGGTATCCTTCCAGAGAGCCACATCCTTTGCTCCCTCCCTCCACTGATCTTTCCGCAACAGTTACCTTCTCAGGGAGTGTGGTTGGCTAAGCCCCTGAAGATATTCCGGTCCTATTCTTTGGAACCTGTGAATGTTACTTGATAAAGAGGGACTCTGCAGATGTGATTAAATTAAGGATTTTGAGATGGAGAGATTATCCTGGATTATTGGAGGTGGGGGCTCACGTAATCACAAGCATCCTTATAAGAAGGAGCTGGAGGGAGATCTGACACAGAAGGTGGCAATGGACCACGGAAGTACGATGCTACAATGCTGGCTGTGAAGATGGAGGAAGGGGCCACAGTCAAGGAACACAAGGAGTAAAGCTCTAGAAAGGGCAAGATGATGGATTCTCCCCTAGCACCTCTCAGGGAGTGTGGCACTGCTTATGCCTTCATTTGGGCCCAGTAAAACTGACTTTAGAATTCCCGAACTCCAGAACTGTAAGAGAAAAAAAACGTGTGTTGCTTTAAGCCACCAAGTTCATGGTAATTTGTTATAACAGCAATAGGAAACTAATAGTGAGGTCTTCACTGACCATCTTCTCTAAAATTGTATCCCCTCCTCCAACACCCGATTCCCCTTTACTGTCTCTCACATTACTGGCTTTCGACATTTAACATACTCTAAACTTAGTTTATTGTCTGCCCCACACACTTAAGCACCAGTGAGGTTAGGCTGTTTTATTCGCTGCTGAACTCCAGGGATGAGAACACCGCAAATCTGCAATGAATGTGAGTCCTTCCTTCCTGGGGTTCCTCCCACCTCTCTGGCCATGCCTCCTATGCTTTAATGTTGGTGGTTCCTTTTCCTCCACTCAAAGTGCAGATCATTTGCAAATCCAGATGCCTAAGGAGGCCGGCAGGAGGGGCCAGAGCAGCTAGCTGTCAGAGCAACTGCTATTTGGAGTGAGTGGTGGGCTGTGCTGGGTCCCTTGGCAGCTGGAGTCCTTGCCCTGTCCTAAGGTGGCCACTTTGCCTCCTCCCCAGCAGACTTTCCCCAGATGAAATGTGGGCCCAATGATGCAATTTCCCAATTTTCCAAGATTTTTATTTGAAATCTCTCAGGTTTAAATGCTTACCCTAGTTAAAAAAATGAACATGTGCAGAACAAACAAAGCACCGTTTTTCCCCTCCTGCTATGACAATGCTGCTCCCCGGGACTTCTCAGAGCTTTTCTCCATGTTTACAGTTTGCCAAAGCCTTTGCTTCCACATTCATGATTTCAACTGTCCACTGCACACGTGGATGAGTTCTCAACTCGCTCCACTACACACGTGGATGAGTTCTCAACTCGCTCCTGAGCTCCAGAACAATATATTCAGTTCCCTGCTGGTTTTCTTCATCTGGACATACCGGAGGCATGTCCTACTCAAAATGCCCAAGACTGCAGTTGTCATGTTCCTCCTGAAGCTAAACCTCCTACAGTCCCAATCTGGGTAAATGGCCCAACTGTTTCCCTGATGCTCCAGCCGGAAACCTCAACTTCTGTCTCACTGATCAGATCCCAAACTCTGCTGATTCTAACCAGCTCTTCAGTATTTCTCATATCTACCCCTTGTAGCAGCTGCCTCTCTTTGGTGCCGGAAGCCATCCGCTTTTAGCTGAAACATTACAATTACCTCTAGTCTTTCTTCTCCACTCTATACTGCCACAGGAAACTTTAATGTAATTCTAATTGTGCCACACTCCTTTGTCATACAACTGTTCCAAAAACATGCTCTAAATGACACAGATTCTAAGGGATGTGAATGGTGTTGCTTCTAAGAAGAGTTCTACGATGACTGGTTTAGAATAAAGAGTTTAAATACAGCTAACCTCCCCTCTCCAGCCCCATAGGACTTCGGAGAGCCCTGTGTATGCCAATGTATATCCCGACTCTCCAAGAGGGCTATGCAGCAGAGAGCAGTTTCCCGAATCTATTTGGCCATGGAATTCTTTTTTTCATGGGGTATTTCAAGGTATTAGTGTTTCACAGTGAGAGCTATTGCTTCCATATCTTTCCATGATCCATAGGACACAATTCAAGTTCCTTAGCATAGACCTGAGAACAAAGACTGAATAGCCAGAATATCTGGGTTCAAATTATGACTGTGCCATTTTCTTAGCTGTGTTAACACTCGACAAATTCTTCTTCTCCATGCCTTTCTTTCTTTATTTGTAATATGAGAATACAATACCAGTATTGCATAGGATTATTGTAAGGATTAGATTACTATTAACAGTACATGTAAAGTGTGCAGGACAGTGCCAGGCACCTGGTAAGTACCTAGTAAGTTCTATCTTCTCAGTCATGGTCTTTCATCATCTGTCTTCTCCACCTTGACCTCCTCCAATGAAGGAAGGTCCAGGCTTTAACTACTTTTAGGCCTAGAACTCCATCTCTTGCCTCTGGCGCTGCTCTTCCTTCGCCTGAAATTCCTCTTTAGTCCCCCCACTTCCCCTTTATATCCACCTGCTTGTGCACCAGGCCCACTAGTGCACTTGCATGGTCAACAAGTACTTTACCAGGCGGCTGCCGTGTAACCCGCATTTCTGGTGGGGGAGTCATGCACAACATTTAACATCCTGGCTCCCCGTATATGCCAGGGAGTGAAGCCCCTGGTGATTTCCCACGTCCATCATTCTCCTCCATACCCTCTGTCAGCTGCATTTTCCATAGGCCCGTTTTACAAACTCTGTCCCCTCATCTGATATCCAACGAGACTTTAAACTGCTCCGGACTCTTTCATCTTTGTACCCCTGCACCTAGAACAGCTTTTGGCACAGAACACGCACCCAGTATTACTGTGTTGATTGCGTACATGAATTTGCCTTGGTCACTGTGCCAAGCCCTCCACTGCCTGCCACGACGTGGGAACCAGGCGCTGAACTCTCTGGATCGGTGCTCTTAACCGTAGAACAGGGTAAAAACCTGCCTCACTGCGCGGCGCGTGTTTGCAAGGCTGTGACAACCCTGTCCCGCCCCGCACGCAGCGGCAGCGCACGGCGGTGGACCCTTCCCAAGTTCTTGAAAGTAACCCGAGGAAGAATGTGCGGGGCCCAGCAGGTCACACCCAGGGAGGCTGCGTGGGCACGACGGCGCCCTCGGGTCCCCTGCCCGCCCGCCGGGGCCAGCACTCACGCTGCTCGCTGCAGTTGCCTCAGCAAGTGGGTGACCCGAGCGCGAGCGGCGGCGGCCATGGCTGCTCCGCGTCTCCCTGCGCCGCGCCCGCTGTGACGGCCAATGCTGGCCGCGCCCTCTCCTCCCGCCCACTCTGCTAGGTCCCGCCCCCAGGCGTCAGTCCCTGGTGGCTCAGGTCCGCCTTCCCACCAAAAAACCTCAGCTGACCCCGCCGCAGTCTCAGCATCCACCTTTGAAATGACCATAAAGGTAATTGTCTTGGGTATTAAATCTACTTAAACCCCTCTATTTCACACGTGGGGAAAGGGAGAAACAAGGGCATTCTGTCCCTGCTGATTCCTTAGAGTGCTATTCTGCCTTCTTAATTTTCAGAATTATTGAGACACTGCATTTAAACTTTGAACAATAACCGAGAACCTTGCAAAAAGCCGGAGGGGTCCTTTGTTACAGGGTCAGTGTTGTGCCCAACTGCTAAATCAAAACTCCACAAACCCATCCCACTCCCCCACCCCCGCTGATTTTAAAAGATTAAATGCTCAGCTTTTTGAAGTTGTTCAGGATTCCATTAAACGGTTTCATCAGTAGTTAACTTTCCACGATTACACTGCACTCTGGGAGGGCTTAGAAGCTCCAAGTGCACGATGTCACAGTTGAAAAGTTAACAATGATCAACTTGCTGAAGTTCACCTTTTATCAGAAAGTATCCTAAGACAGTAATCATTGAACATGTGTTTTAAGTAATCTATTATGAAATCTGAATATTTTCTTTCACAGTAATTTCTAAAAGTAACCTTATAAAAATAAGCACTGAAAAAATTCCCAATTTCAATTTTCTGTCAATTATCAGATCAGAGTGGCTCTCAGCCCTACAAGAGCAGCACCCGCCCCCAGATTCTAGATCATCTATGAATCCTTTTCAGGAGACATTTATTTTTACAAAGATGAGTTACTGACATC